AGACTACTCATTCCAAAAGGTGGAAGGAGAGTTCAGCTAGCAAAGTTTCACAATTGTAACCGCTTGGAGCACATGAATACTCAGGCGCTATGGGTTCTGGGACCGTGTTGCCAGTAACGTGGGACTCACTAAACCTTGTTACGATAGGGTCAGAGGAGCAAAGTGTTTGAAGTTTCTCAAAAGGTGAAAACTTTGGGAGCCTCGTAAGTTACCAAGTAGTCCGCCTCCACCCTTCCCTCCTCAGTAGAAGTGTCTACGAGGTGAAATCGTGCGAGCATCAGACAAGCACTGACTCTATTCTGCTCAGTGAAGTAAATTCTCATGATTTCTTGGGCTTGACTCAGAGAATCATAAGAAGATACTTCTGTGCTTGGCGTAGCAATGGAAAGAGATACGCTCAGAATTTCCATGTGCACGGGCGTAAAAGGTATTTGAGTGCTGCGAACACTGTCGGTGTTCGAATACATCGGTAGTTGCCAAGGAATCAAAGATCAGGGAGATCAATCTAGCCATCTGATTCGTATTGGTTGGTTGAATGTGCACTTATTTTCACCGAAGGTTCGGAGCAAACGCCCCGGCGATCCATCAGCTTGGAGATTAGAGTTCATATAAAAGCTTTTCATGAACAAAAGGCTATGCTACATGCTCCTCATACTCAGAGGAATTGATAGTCACTCTTTTTTTGCAGTGAGATAGACTGGGGACGTTATAGTGTCCACTGAAACATTCAGCACTTAATGGCATGCCAAATATGAGGAAAGCTCTGGAGTTGGAGACATCCACTGTAAGCCTGTTTTGACTTGATAATTTGTTTATTTTTGTAATTAGCCACCTCAATACGCGATCCGAAAGCGTCACAAGTTTGGCGAGATCAACGGATATCAGAGCACCGTGCCCGGGTAGCACGTACAACTGCAAGTTCAAGTCCCGTCCGAGGTCGAAGTTCTGTCCATAACTAGCCAACCATGTGATTCAGTGTGGGTAAGAAAATTCTATGTAACCCTTTTATGCAAGTTATAAGCCTGTGTATTGAATTTCTTTAGCAAAAATTTTTGTTAAAATACCTGGTTTTTTTTGACATGTTGTGGGACTAACTACAGGAAAATTTATAGAATTTTACAATTCACATTTACATATAAGAATTTGAGAATAGCAGTTTCAATGTGTTTATACGAGACCAAATCGGAATCACTGATTACCCGTGGTAGACTACGAAGTCAATGCGCTTCACTTCCGATCGCATTAAACTCCGAATCTATCTAAGCCGCCGTAACTGGGTCTACCGTATCCGCCAATTGGGCGATCATAGCTGCTTGATGGTGGTTCAAAACCGCCCCCTCCTCCATAAGATGGGAATTCTGTGGAAAACTTGGACGTCCGTAGCCACCTCCGCTAGGGAATTGTGGCTCCATTGGAGGTGTTGGTAGCGGCGGTGGCGGTGGTGGACCAGAGAAATTGTTCAGACATCCTATACTTTTCTTATGATTTCCGGGTGCGACCTCAACACCGGAATTGCCCTTGGAAGGACTGTTTTCAAGTTAGGAGCTCGCCTTTTGCTCAGGGTCGGTAGTGGAATGATCAAGATAAAGGGTTATCAGTGGAGTTTATGATGTCGTTCATCCGTTGATGTTAATTTCAAAAGCCTCGTTAATTGTGAAAAATTTACAGGAACCATTTGGCTTTGTTGTGTTTTGTGATTCGAGAATATCATGCCACTAAACTGCCACTTTATGTGACCATCTACCCTTCTTACCGGTTCCGTGTAAAGATGCTGCTATCGTCACTACCGATAAGGAGTGCAATTGACCGAAAGTCGTCTTAGTGATGATAAGGAGATCGAAAACTAACAAGTTACCGAAAGGTGTTTTTTCTCAAAAAATGGTACCCACGAGTATTAATCCGGCGCGGCCCATGCGATTACGAACTTACATCTTGCGCTGAAGGGGGGAGCCACAAGAGAAGGGCGTAAAGAGTAATGAAAAGGTGCTTCACTACGTTCTTCATCAAGAAGGATTTCCTATGATGTCATGGCGAAATTTACTTACTGCAACCCGAAGTGTTGGAAGTATGAAAACTGATGAAAATATTCCATCCGACACTGTTTCTGTTTCAAGGGGTGCTCACGACTTCTGCAAAAATTAGGCTCACCCAAAAAATGTGATTATTTCCTCCATTCGGAAGTTAGTTCATCCCATCCTGCATGAAGTTAGGTGACTTCTCTAGAGTTCTACAAGACTGTAAGATACATTCAAAGGTAAAATCAGCAGTTCATCGATTTATTATAAACAGTAATGAAAAGTTGTTGCTATCTGGAAATCTCTACCAGTATTTATCCCAATATCCCAGAGAACATTATGATTTCATATATTTGCTAATGTTGTAGCTGCGCCCGAACATTGCTACCCTCTTTCCAAGCATTTCTTATCATCAGAGCGTATTAGTTCACGGTAATTGAATGTAAAGCAGTCAACACATGCATTGCATGCTAATTTGTCTTGTCGTTCTCTTGGCAGCAACCTGTGATATGAGTCGTTCCAGGAAGAAAGCCTCCAGGCTTAAGCTTTTGTGATCCTCAATCTCAGAAGCACGGAATAAATTGCTTGACACGATTGTTTACAGCAAAAGGAATCGTCTAAACATATTACGCTTTCGCAAAAAAGTAATAGAAAACCGCTGGTGCCATGACCCTTGCTTGCAGTAGTGGAGAACTTGATCACAGAATTGAGCAGTTCTTTCTAGAGGAATTTGGGACGAGTAGCAGAAGAAGTTCATGGAGTTGGGACTGAGAGGACAGGGGACTGATGTGTCAAGATTATCCTCTTTCATTGGACTGGCTTTCAAAAAGTTGTACTGGATGATTAGATTAATCGGAACTGTAATCAAGTGGAAACTTTGTTTTCTTCAAAAACCCTTCCCACTTCACCAACTCCAACCCCGAAAAGGGCGTCAGAGGGTTTTCCTTCGTTAACAAGTGCCGTTCTAGCCACTCACCTAAGAGACCACCAAACCAAAGTTCTGCAAGTGAAACTACAGAATTCAGTGCTCTAAGGCTTGAGGCTATTTCGTTCTCTGTAGAAATTGAAGAACTATTGTTATAGGATAGACAGGTGGATAAAGGGGGAAGGTATTGAGCTTTAGAGTCAATCGGTCTATTTTCAAGTTGCGCCCTGGCTTCAACTTTCATACAGAATCGTAGTTTCAATTCAATGCGTATGTGACTTCTCAATGACTTGGGGGAAGGGGGGGGGGCAGCCAAAGTAGAAGCCAATGCTTTTTCCTACAGACGATTCTTGTATCAATTAACGGATCCCGGAAGCGTAGTGCTGCCGGCCTAGTACATCGAATAGCCGTGCTTGAAATCATCTTTTCGGAGAGAATTGTTGGTTAGCACGAGAAGGTCTGAAAAAAACGAGAAAATGAAACTTTGTCGAAACTTCGAAAATTGGATTCTGGCGTGAATGTGGATGATATAATTATTCTTTCACTATTAAGAGAGTCCTTTGATAACTCACACTTTCCTGTTGACAGTCATACGTAGGCTGCCTTTTATATTTCGGGATTTGAGAACAGGAAGAAATACTATTTATTGAAAATCGCTTTACTGCCTTTCAGAATTCTCCACATTAAGATCTATACACTTTTGCATGGACTCAAACCAATTTTCGAAGCACTTTTGCCACTTTGATGTAGGTAACTCTAAAACATGGATTCTGGACGCATTAACGGCTTCTTCAGAATCGAAAAACGTTGACCCCTCATTTCACTTTTTACGCACGGGATGAGAAGTCACCCGGGGACTACATGGGTGATGACCTGTCAAATCGTTGTTTTAAATGCTCGAAAATGCAGTTGTTTGAGCCGATGTGTGGGAGCTCGAATTGTCGTGACGTGGGATCCAAC